GACTTACCGATCGACGTAAGATTCAAGTAGTCCGGGGATATTTGGAAGGGCCTGCGGCTATGTGGTATGACGAACGAACAAGAGACCAGAATACAGAATTAACTGAATGGAGAAACGACAATCATGATGAACACGATTTCACTCACCGATTTATCCTGAGATTCCGAACCCAGGAGCGAGTTGATCAATGGCAGGATGAACTGGAGACATTACAACAAACAGGGACCGTCGATGCGTACACCGATAGGTTCATCGAACTCCTAAGAAAAGTAGATCCTGAAAATCAATACCCCGATGAATACCGTATTCGTACGTATAGGAGAGGACTCCGTCCGGAAATACGAAAGTGGGTACAAGTAACGACCGATGGAACACTGACAAATATGATTAAAGTCGCCCGAAACATTGAAAAAGCCGATGCTGACAACCCAACCCACGGCTATCATCAACTCCAGGTAAATCCGGTTGCCTCTAATAACGACATACTCGCCGCGTTACAAACGTTGACCCGGAGAATAGAAGTTATGGAGACGGCTCGACCATACCAAAACAATAATGAAAATCGTAATAGGAATTGGAACCGGTCAAATTCTAATAGAAGTATAATATGTTATAATTGTGGCGAACAAGGACACATCAGTAGCAATTGCGAAAAGCCACGACAAAATAGTCGATACCGTGATAATGCTGGAGGAAACCCGCCAAATCGTAACAATGCAAACGCCGCCACGCAAAACAATGCTCGTCCAAATATGGATGAACCGCAGATCGACACTAATGTAGGAAATAAAAACGGAAATGTTAATGATGCCCTTCTGGTGCAATTGCAAGCGCTAACAAACAACTTACAAACGATGGTCGAAAATCAAAATACTACTAACAACAATGCCCTACTCGCAACCCACGATTACTTGGCTAGCGAAAAGAAACAGAAGGCAACAATTCGACACGAGCCGTATGTCAAAGAACACAACACAAGAAGTCGACAAAATAATAACGACGATAAATCGGGCAATCCCCTTGCAGAGGAGACGCTTAGTGACAGGGAGATGGACGAGGCGGGTCCATCAACGAATATTGTTAAAGACAGCGTACCTGAGAAAAAGAAATTGAGGAAAAAGAAAGGAAAGGTCGAATTACCTGTCCTTGCATCCAAAGCCACACCATATGATATCGTCGAAGACCTGGCAACCATGAAAGC